ATTTCGCCTTTAGTCTTAGTTGGGAAGATGATACTCCAAAGAATGTGCCAGGACAGAGCAGATTGGGATGACCCATTGCCAGATGATCTTCGTCCAGACTGGGAACGCTGGAAAGTCGAGCTGTTGAAACTGAGTGAGATCAAAATTTCGCTTCATTCCAGATGGTTTGGGTCAAGCAGTCTCAGTACAACTTCACCACTTTTCTGACGCGTCATTTTCTGGTTATGGACAATGTTCATATGTGCGTCTGAAGACAACAGATGAAAAGGTACACTGTGCCTTGGTCATGGCGAAGGCCAGAGTTGCCCCATTGAAGCCTGTAACTATACCTAGACTGGAACTACAAGCTGCAACAATTTCAGCAAAAGTTTCTAAGGTTCTCGAGACTGAAATGGGCTATAAAGACATCATTTTTGGTCGGATTCCAAGGTAGTCTTGGGATATATAAAGAATGATACAAAGAGACTCAAGATGTTTGTCGCAAACAGGGTTCAACGAATTAGAGAAGTTTACCAGCCAGCACAGTGGAAATATGTTCCAACCACTGATAACCCTGCAGATCATGCCACACGTGGTCTAACAGCTGATGGAATCGCCAAATCTAACTGGCTTACAGGCCCTAAGTTTTTATGGGAAACGGAGGCTTCACCTCAGACTGCAGACATTGACTTGGAAATCCCACCAGATGATGTGGAGGTTAAACCGACAGTTGTACATATTGTACAGAGAATGAAGTTCACTAGCTTCACAGAGAGGATGAGCAGATTTTCTAGCTATTCAAAGGCAGTGACAGCTGTGGCGGTCATTGTTGAATGTTCACTTAAGAAATGATGAAAGCTATTCTCCAAAATACAGGTTAGAAACTTAGCAGAGACAAACCTTATCGGAGTTATACAGCAAGAAACATTCAAAGACAGTATACAGAATCTCCAGAAGAGATACACTTCTAGTATACAGAATCTCCAGAAGAGATACACTTCTAGTCGTAGAGACGATCCTCTAAAGAACCTGGACCCCTTTCTCGATGAGAATGGTTTGCTACGAGTGGGAGGCAGATTGAAAAGGTGAGCCTTCTTATATGGAGTGAAGCATCCAATTTTGTTGCCAAAGAGAAACCATTTCTCAACGTTGGTTACAAGTCATTATCATGACCGCATAGGTCATCAAGGTCGAGGCATGACTATCAACGAGATTCGCAATCATGGATACTGGATTGTTGGGTGTCGTTCAACAGTGTCGTCCCTGATCCAAAACTGCGTTACGTGCAAAAAACTGAGAGGAAGAAGAGTGTCACAAAAAATGGCAAACCTCCCAGAAGATAGGACAGAACCCTCTCCACCATTTACCCACTGTGGACTGGACTGTTTTGGGCAGTTTATAGTCAAAGAAGGACGAAAGGAGCTGAAGAGATATGGGTTAATCTTCACGTGCCTCGCATCAAGAGCTGTTCATATTGAGGACTTAGATTATATGTCTACAGATTCATTCATCAATGCATTGAGATGCCTTATTGCCATTCGAGGAAAGGTCCTCATGATTCGCTGTGACCAAGGAACCAACTTTGTTGGTGCGAGTCATGAACTGAAGGAGAATCTTAACAAGTTAAACATTGATAGTATCGCAAGAAAACTTCTCTCCCAAAATTGTGAGTTCTTATTTAACACCCCTTCATCAAGCCACATGGGCGGAGTATGGGAGAGGCAGATCCGGACTATCAGAAGTGTCTCAGATGGAATCCTGATCCAGAATGGAACCCAGCTGAACACATCAGCTTTGCGTACATTCCTGTTTGAGACAATGGCCATAATCAACAGCAGACCACTGACTGTGGATGATTTGGAAGACCCTAACGGGCCCCTTCCTCTATCGCCAAACAATATCCTCACAATGAAGTCTGGAATTGTCACCCCTCCACCTCCTGGAGATTTTTGTGAGGGAAGATATATATGCGAGAAAGAGGAGTCCAAT